TATATATATATATATATATATATATATATATATATATATATGCGTGCATACATACATACATATACATAATGGTTTCAAAGCAATGCTTTAATTTTCTCTGAAACATCGGTAATTCTTGATCTAGCTTTTGCATGAAAGGTTCATCAGTGATACACAGCTTAGGTTGTCAATGTGTCCAATCTACTTCTGTGTAACACATACCTGCTGTAGCATGTAGTTGACAGACAAAGTTTTTAGATAATGAGTTATGGACTTGTTCATCCAGAAATGAATTGCTTCCATGCCACTAGCATGTACCTTACTTAAACGCAGTCTCTGCTCACGATGCTCATTCGATACAATCAGAATTAACAAATTTGTAAGTATCTGATTGATAGTCTATATTACCAATTTTGTTAATCTATGAGACTGGGGTAGTAGCGGGAAGCAAATCTCCAATACATCCAACGATTTACATTACTCGGAAAATAACTGGCTGTTAAATTTTCTTCTTAGTCTATGTTAATTTCTCTGGGTGCTAAAGATCATGATAACCATTGTTCAGCTAACACATCTGCAGATGACTGTACTAACTTATTAATCAATCGATTAGCCTCAACTCACTTGATGGAATAATCAATAACAATTACCTTGTTCGGTGACCATGAGAAGATCAGATATATTCAAGGCTAGTCTCCATAATGAAGAATCAATACCTATCTGTCGAAGTTTTCTCTGCTTTTGGTCGGCTTTCTTCTCTAGGCAGTACACACACACTATAATGATTGAACAATTGCTCAAAGTCTTGATGCAAAAATGGCCAGAAAAGAACACCAATGCATGTTAGCATATATTCATGTAATTCTCGGTTTGTATTTTTCAAAGTATGAAGTATTTCCTGCTTGAGAATTCTGGAGACCTATAGCTATAATATGGATTGAAAATCATGTCTTCGCAGTTTATAACAGCACTACAGCTTATTTTCATGTAATTGTAGCTTTTCATACAAATACTACAGGTTATGTATGTGTGTATACTATGTTTCTCAATCCATGGTAGTTATGCTTCACCTTGTTGCATGGAAAGTAAGATTAAGTTCAAATTCGATGACGAGGAACCCACTTTGAGGCTAATAATGCTTGGAGTCGACTTGAAGGGGCAATGAAGAAAAAACTTTAATATAAGTTTAACAAAACAGTAAATGTACAACGTTTCGACAAGGTTTTGTCATCATCAGGTACCAAAACCATGTTGAACTGTTGTACATTTACTGTTATGTTAAACTTGTATTAAAGGTTTTTCTTCATTACCCATTCAAGCTGTCTCCAAGCATTATAAAATTAAGTTCATCTTCTAAGAGCACTTGAACCATCAATCATGGTGTCCAAACCTTAGTGGATGTTCTTTCTTGCTATTTTATTTGACATCACAGCTTCTGTAAATGGCTTTAATTCTCATGTGGTATCCACCGTTAGTTATTCAACAAATGGACAAACTCGCCATTTGGAGAGACATTCCACTGATATTCCATGTTATGAGCCTATCTGATGAAATATGACCATTTTTTTTTTTTACTTCTACAACATTATTTTTTAACATACAATATGAAACTTTTAGAATTTATGAATCCCCTCAATGAGAACAATTTAGTGATTTCAATACTCAGTAAGCATTTTCATTTCTACTTAAAGTATGTTATTGTTGCCTATTTTTAGTAAAATAAGATATGAGTCATTCAGTCAAAAGTCGCCTACCAGCTCGCATCCAAGCGAATGTTTTAGCTCTTCCTTCCAGAATGATGACTAGGTAGAGGTATTGGCAACATCTGCTATAGTACAACCATTATGGAAAGCCTCGTCCGCTCACTGATATCCAGTGCAACTGTGTCAAGTTACTGGATTATGCTTACAGTAGTCCCCAGTGGATCTAGAGCTTTCCATGATGCATTAATTGTGGAAGGGATGCAGCTGCTGATGCAGGCTTCTTCCTTTCTTGGAACCTGTTTGAAGTTAGCACTTTAAGCCTGGCCTTTGTTATGGAGAACATATTTTCCACGCCGATGTGATGTTTCATAAACTTATCTATGAGAATATCCTCATTATCACAAATAAGGTGTTGTGTAGGTGATGCATATTGTCCACACAAGCATCCAAAATCACTTTATAACCTTTCTTTCAAGCCTTGAATGTGGCCTGTCAAAGAAACAATGGCACATTTTAACCACACATAGCAGTCACTTAAATACTTGATAATTTCAATCACTGGACCATCCAAACTTAACATGACGAAATACATTGCCTTTTGCCACATCCAAGCAGTAACCTGCTTGAAACATTTAAAGAAGTAGTCTTGATCTTCTTTAGCTGCACCATTGAATGTCGGAGGACATTTATTTCACCTACTCAACAGAGACCTGTAGATGCAAAAATATCTCATCTACAGGGGTGTCTATTAACATAAGGCTGATCACCATGGATATCAGAAGCATAAGGTCTTATACGTGTCTATGAACTCCTTTATT